GTTTCCCTTGTGGCCATGGTGGGAGGTGGTGTGGAATCTTTAGGAGGTGGAAGCCTAGTGAGAAATAATTAGGTCACTGGGGGATGCTGCCCACAAAAAGTATTAATGCTAGTCACATGGACTAAAGTTCCTGAAACAGGGAGTTATTATGAAAAGCACAGGCCCTGTGCTCCCTCCTTCTCTTAGTGGCTGTGGCATGATGTCACTCATCATGACATAGTATGGCCAGGGGAGCCCTTGCAAGGGCTGCTGGGAGAATTTTCAGGCTTCAAAACTGTGAGCTATGTAAAACCCTTTTCTTAATAAACTGTGCAGAGTTGGGGATTTTGTTATAGCAACAGAAATAGGAATAATATATTAGGTAGCTAAAATAGTCAAAATCATCAAGGTGAAGAATAGAATAGTAGTTTCCAAAGGCTGGGAGGATGGGAAACGGGAGCTGCTAATTACTGGGAACACAATTTCAGTTATGCAAGATGAATACATTTTTAAGATCTGTTGTACAACATGTGCCTTCAGATAACAATACCCTATTTATATGTAAAAATTTATTAAGAGGTCAGGATACCTGTTAACTGTTCTCACCACAATAAATTTATTTAAAATACAAAATAATAAAGAACTTGGTAATGTACGTGTGATGGTGTACACCTGTAGTGTCAACATTTAGGAGGCTGAGGCAGGAGGACCATGAGTTTGAGGCCAGTTGGGCTATAATAGTAAGACCTTGCCTCAAACATAAATTTTTAAAAAACTTGCTAAGCAAACAGGAGCTGTAAACAGCAGGGCAGGGAGAGACACAGTTTTAGCTGACCAATAAAACTTCAATCACTTTGAAAATCATCTTGGCAGAAATGACTTGTTCTTAAGTAACAAAAGGGCTCACTGAAAATTATTCTTCTCCGCCCCTCCAAGAAGCACCTCTGAATGGCACATAATATTTATGGCAAAGTTGAAATCAATTCTCTAAAGATCTCCTGGGCAGGTCCTGAGTTATGGGCTGAGAATACACAGGTACAGGGAAAGGGTAGTACCTACTCTGAAGTGAGGCAGGCTGGCTAGGGACAGGCTCAGAGATTCCAGTGCTGACTCTGCCACTTGATGGCTGCATTGCCCTGAGCAGGCTGTGTGACCATTCTGCTTTCCTCTGGAAAATGGAGGTGCTAATCTGCAAGGTGTTGTGCAAATTAAAAGAGAAAAGAATATCCAAAGTGGTTTGCAAAGCGCCATCCGCACAGTGAGATGCGCTAATGTTGTTTCTCAGCACATTAGGCAACATGGAAAATGCAGCAAGGATGGGAGACGCTGTCTGGTTCCTCAGGAGGGAGCTGTCTGGGTGCTGAGCTTCAAGTCTGGCCTGGGGAGTGTCAGTCACAGAAGTGGTAATTTGGACGGGGCCCATGAGGAAAGGTCTGGGCCAGGAAGACAGACACAGAGATGACTCTAAGGTTTCAAGTTTGAGTAACTGAGAGCACAGTTAAGTTAATTTGGTTAAAATGCTACTAAGTCACTTCCTTTGGTGGAGAAAGAAGTACCCAGGGGACTTGTCTTGGGACAGAGAGGCTCTGAGACCTGGCGCCCTCCAGACGGACAAGCCTGGGCCAAAGGATAAAAGTGACCTTTGTGAGCAGGACATTGAAATGGGCCAATTGTGAGGACTTTGTATCTTTCTCCAGGTTTGTGCTAAATGAGACTCTTCACACCCAGATGGCCAGTGGGTCTGCCTTTGACTCAGGGCCAGGAAGCAAAGGCGAGCAGAGGCTGTGGGTGTGAGGAGGATGCACACACAGGGGCAGGAGCTGGCAGACCGTGACCCTGAGAGAGGCAAGTGGGAGGGTTAAGTTTGGGGGTGGGGCTGCTGTCTGCCTGCACGGTGTGGGGAAAGGCGGGTTTGGGCCCACCTGAGTATCTGGACTTGCGCAGGGCAACTTTGGGTACATTCCCCCACTTTGTTAGACGAGCTCCAGACAAGGTGGTTCTAGTGGACAGCTGAAAATAGGGACCCAGGGGTAGTTCTGAGAGTTAGGTAGGCAGGTTGGGTGTTACGGATTTGCAGTCAGCCATCTGTATGTCCTCAGGGGAAAAGCCTAAGGTAGGCATCAGCAGTGATTTTGACTCTATGAACCTCCATACACTGGTTCATTCTGATTCGGGAGCACCGGCGAGGCCTAGACATGAGTGCATGGGTGTGTGTGTGTGTGTGTGTGTGTGTGTGTGTGTGTGCATGCTTGTGAGAGTGACAGAGAGACAGAGGACAGAGAGAGACAGAGACAGAGAGAGACAGAGAGAGATATATGAGGCAAATAGCTTTAGGAATTCACATGTCTGCACGGAGCCTGGAAAGGCCTCAGGTTACTTCAAGGAATTGAGAAGATCCGTAGGGCACCTCTTTACGTCTTCATCTTTTCTTAAAGTCTCATTCTGGGGAAGCTGAGTTCTCTTCTGGAAGGTGCTATGGATGGGGAGCTCAGGAGCTCCAGGCCAACCCTGGCATAGACAGGCTCTGTGTCCTTGGGGAGCGAACTCAGCCCATGTCTCCTTTAAGATTAGGCAAGTGTTCAGTCCCTAAGCCCACTGGCCCAGAGGACACCCAGATCTCTGAGAGTCACGAGGCAGGTCCCGCAAATGAGTTCTCTCAGCCTTTCCTACCTACTAGGTGCTGTTTCTCTGGTACACTTAGCTCCCTCTCCTTATGCGGGTTTCGCTTCAGATTGTACAAATCTTTCGCCTTTTACTTAGCTCCCTCTCCATGCCATGTCATCCTCCCTAAACTCTGGCCCAGAAGGAGCACAGGCCCCCTTTGCAGATGAAGAAAACTCAGAGAAAGTGAACTTTCCCCTAAGATGGCACAGTCTAAACTTAGCACAGTTGGGACTGGAACTCAGGCAGGGGCCTGGCGCCAGGCATGCAGCCCTAGCTTGGGGCTCTGGTTTTTCTTTTACAAAATGATGAAAGCTGTAGATGATTTATTTATTATTTAAGTTTACACAAGCATGGTATAGGTCTTTGTCAAGCCATTGCAAAAAGCTTAAAGTACCAGACAAGGGTGCATTAGGAAGGGCCCTCTGTTTCTGGTGCCCGCAGACCTCCTGGTACCTTCCAGATCTCACACCAGGAAGTTTGCACCATCTCAGGCAGTGTGAAGTGTCTCAGCCCACTATAGGCCACTTCCTGGTGGAGAAGCAGGTGACAGCAACACCAGGAGGGGTCTAGATGATGCACAGGGAATAAACTGGGGCAATTTAGGTCACTGCACTTAAACAGTACTGTTCCCTGTCTTAAGGTGACTTCTCAGGGGAATGGGTAACATAGGCAAGGATGGGAGGATCCCTATGGCCATCTGGGCAGCTCCTTACCTCCATAAGAGGGGTACGCTTAATTCATTGCAAAGGGATGCAAAAAACAAAGCTACCTTCCCTCTGGGTGCTGCTGCTGAGATGTGGCCTTCACGAGGGAATACAGAGGGGAGAGGCTAGGGGTTGTCTGACTGTGAAACCAATCTGAATTCAGGCATGTTTGTGAGGAAAACAGGGTTTGTCCATGTGGAGTGGCAAAGGCTTGGGGTTTTCCAAACATCCCAGAGGGACCTACACACTCTGCTTTTGGCTGGAATAGGCATACTATTGTCCTCTAAATGGGTGCTCAGAAACACTTGCGGAGTATACCCCTGCTTTACTTAAATTGCTCTGCTATCTTTTTCCAGTCAAAATAAGACAAGTCCCTGACCCTCCTCCTCCCCTTCGGCCAAGCAGCTCCCTCTCTTTGCTGCCTTTCTGGAGCCCTCTGGAAGGCCTTGCCAGCAATCCTTTCCTCTCCTCCACTGACACCCAGGCTCTGCCACTTTCTTATTGCCAAACCCAGAACACTTTTCTGTCCTGGTCCTTGGCTCTCCAGAGGCTGTCCCTCCCTAAATCCTGGAGGCCACAGAAGGCTGCTAAGGAGGGAGGGGACAGCCAGGTGGAGTGTCAGGCTGCCACCAGTTTCTGCTGACAAACTGCTCTGATGGTCCTCACTGGCTCTTCTAAAGTCTTCTTGACACTTCAGGCTACTGGTTGCTTCATCCCTCCCTGCCACTCCTCTTCTGTCCCCTCTCCTCTCTCTATCCACCACCTTCTGGGGTGATGCTATCCTGCCCCTAGTCTCCAGAGCCAGGTGCACAGTGACACCTCTAAAGAGTGAATCCCATCTCCAGTATGACTGCTTCCAGGGCTGCTGACCTTTCTGCCCACCAACCATGGGGCAACCCAAAGGACCATCAATAGGTGACCCAAATATAATGAAAATCGGCTCCTAGCTATCACATGATCCTCACAGCCAGAAAACATAGCCACCCGGATGTAACCAGTAACTCTTCCATCTCACATCAGCATGTGTTGTTGGCTATAATTCAAAAACACAAGGAGAACCCAAATGCCCCTCTTCCCTAACATCCACAGCTATATTCCCAGCCACCAGCCTGGCCCTGGACGACACCAACGCTTCACATCCCGGCTCCCAGTTTCCACTTGCACCTCTTTCAACTCTATGCTCCCAGAGCAATCAGAGTGACTTTACAATGAACCGAATAATACCTGACAGGATAAGAACCCCATGGAGTTCTTACATCTCAAAAGTTTCTTGGTTATTCTTATGTATTTCTTTTTCAGATGAAAGCTAGAAATATGTTCTTTTAAAACCAGACAATCCAATGGTAAACCAATCCAACCTAGAGATCCTTTAATTGAGATAATACCCCTTGTCTGTAGTCAGTATTCTGGATTAGGAATTATGAAAGCCTGAGTTAACCATACTTTCTGTAAACTCAGTAAATAAAAACTTGGCTTTAGAAGCAGAAGCATGGGGAACCACATTTCTGTTTACCAAACGATCAATTCCTTTATAAGGGATCTAACCTGGTAGCTCCCGAAAAGCCATTCCAAAGGGGCGAGGTGCAGCCTGATGGGGGCGGGTTCCAAAATGGGGCGGGACCTGAGCCGGGTTGGGCAAGGCGAGTGTCTTACCTCCCTGAGGCAAGTGTAGATGGGGCACACGAGCACGCGGAAGGGCTCTCCGGTGCTGCTACGCATGGTGCCAAACACCTCGCACAGGAAGGTGATGAAGCCCAGCCAGCGTTCCACATCCTGCTGCTGCAGCTCCTCGCGCACCGTGAAGTCCTTCTGCAGAGGCACAAGACACTGTGTTAGTCTTGATGGGAACAAGGATGGGAAGAAGGGGACAGGGGAAGACCTGCCATGCCCCGGGGTCTGGGGCAGCAGGCAAACTCGGTGTCTTATTGAGGGAAATGGGAACACCCTGTCCCATGACCATGGCATCTCACTTTGACGTGTCCCTGGGCCAGGAGCACAGCTTTCCCTCCTCTGGGAATGCCTACCCCTGCGGCAGGTCACTACCCCCTTGACAGAGGCGCTCCAGCCTTGCCTCGTGGCCCCAGCACTGAGGAGGGGTGACCCCCTTCCCAGACTCATCACCTCTCACATTCCACTCTGCCTGGCTGAACTCTCTCCCCCGGCTAACCCTTAAATCAGCCCTCTCTATAGGACAGGGTGAGGGGAACACTGTTTGCCAACATGGGTCAGCAGTTGGTCACAGAGGCCCATCTTAGCTCCGGCTTGGGCTAGAAATTTCAAGTACGGCCCCTACCTGCAAGGGGCCTTGAGGACAGAAGGAGACACGGACGCGTCCATTCACTCATTCATGCATTTGCCCTTCCTGCTTAAGAATACGACTGCACTGTGTGCAAGACTCTGCTCCGAGGGGCTGGGACAGGGCGTGTTCACGCTTTAGTGTAGTGCAAGGGAAATGGTATTAGAGCTACCAGAGTGTCCCTGTAAGGGGGCTTGGGGAGAGACCGGAGTCAGTATTCTCCACCAGATTCCGACATGGCACAAGTAGCAAGAGAAATCAAACTCACTGAACAGAAAGAACGTTGATTGCTAGGGACTGGGAGAAGTGGGTACCTGGAGTTATTTAGTGGACAGAATTTATCTGGCAAGATGAAAAAGTTTGGGGGACTGGCTGTATATCAATGTGAGCACAGTTAACACTGCTGAACTGGTCAAAATGGTAAATTTCAGGCTTTTTATTATCAAAAAACCCCCACTCGTACAACTTTCTTGAATGTATGTTCCAGCCAACAAAATTTATGACTCACTGTAAGGAAATCATGGAGAAGGGTGTGATGGGGGACTGAAATGGAAACCAGATAGGCTTATGAAGTTAAAGTAAGTAATAGTCATTTTGGTTATTAGAGTGAGTCAAAAGCCAAAAAAATTCCCAGGAAGGCAGGATATTTAATTTTTTAAAAAATGTATTTGATTTAATTTTAAAAAACTTTTTGGAGACAGCATGTCACTGTTGCTGGCCAGGCTGGTCTTGAACTCCTGGGCTCAAGTCGTTTCCCTACTGAAACTTCTCAGGGCTGGGACTATTGGTGCTCATCTGCACCTTTGGCTGATTATTTGACTTTTAAATGTAACTTAAATGATAATTTCATAGGAGTGGTTACTTAATAACCCAATGTTAAGTTATGACTGGCAAATACTTGTGGAAAGGGAACAAAAAATTATATGGCACACAGTTTCCTAATTTAGATCATAAGGGTTCATAGATTACTGCTCCCCCAAGTTTGATAATCAGAGAAATATATTACAGAATGCCATTAAAATGTTAAAATTAAAAACTAGTAACCACTAGCAGAACAGAAAACAGAATATATAAAATAAATGAATGGGTAAAAATAATCATGGGCAAATGAAAATAAAATTAAAGCAGTAGTAAAATCAAAGTATTTTATGATAACAATCATTTAAAATTACAGGATTATTAACAAAGATAAAATAGTTCATACTGAGTAGATAACATATTATACACTGACTAGCGTAGACTCAAAATATATAGACAGTTATTGACACATCAGAAAAAATAAGAATTGTATTTTGATAAGAGCCTCTATTATTGATTGAATGGACAAAGATTAATTAGCTGACTTGAACAATACCATAATTCTAAATTGAAACAGCTTCATAGTAAACTGTCACTCCACTATAATTTTCAAAATGTAGAAACTGGGTGTTAACTGGGCATGGTGGCACACCCTTGTAAGCTCAGAGAAGCTAAGGCAGGAGGATCTTTGGGCTATGCTGGACTATGTAGTGAGTTTAAATCCAGCCTGGATTACATAGTAAAAAGACAAAAACAAAAACGCAAAACAAAACGAAGCAAAAAGAAATTGTACAAATTACATAATGGAAGCTGGGTATGGTGGTGTATGCCTGTAATCGCAGGACATGGGAGGTTGAGGCAGGAGGATTACTGTGAGTTTAAAGCCAGCCTGGGTTACAAAGTGAATTCAAGGCATGGCTGAACTACATAGCAAGACGCTGCCTCAGGAGGAAAAAAAAAGAACAAATTACATACTGGGGTCAAAAGTTAACAATTAAAAATAACCAATTACTTAGATATTTAAAAGGTATTCTCTTAAAGAAAGATGGTAATCAAATATACAGCAAGTTATTTAAGAAATAAAGAGCTGTAAAAACTTGTAGGATGTGGTCAAAGCTATAATGAAAGGTCAATTTATAGTCAATTATTTCAGTTATTAAATAGAGGAAGAACATATGTCACATATACTATGTCTGATCTGATGGGCACTATATATATATATATATATATAATATATTGTATATATGACTATTAAGTGTGTAACATGTTCATAACAGGGCTGGGATTCATTTTTCTTGCTACCTGGTGCTCTGAACCATGTTGGTACATAAATGATTGTTCCATTGGGTGGCACAGACAGCCATACACAGAACTGTGTTAAAATGGGGCAATCAAAATCTTCCATGTACTGTAAGTGTAAGAGACAATGGTTTTCAATGAGAATACGAAGACTAATTTAAAATGTTTGGTATTTTAAACAGATTGAGTACGTTGAAATTGTAGATACCATGAGTTAAGTAAAATATATTACGAAGTTTAAAATTATATATGTGGGCCATATTATATTTCTGTCCAACAGTATTACTCCAAACATTCAACTCAAATTTAGAAAATTGCCAGCAACTAAAGGAACATAGGAAAGGACATAATACAGATAAAGTTAGAAATTAATTACTTAGAACACAAAGAAAGGAAGTTACATATAAAATTAAGAAAGAAGTAATAAAATTAAATGCAAAAGTACACATGGAGGAGATAAAAATACAAATATGATAGTAATTATAACTACTACTAATGATGACTTGAAAAAAAATTTGAAATGGGCAATTTTATAGAAAATAATACCACCAAGGTTTTTTAAAAAAATACAAACCATAATAGACAAAAACAAAACAACATGAAACAAAACCATAAAATAAATAAATAAAATAAAATGGTAGTAAATGCTGTGTAAGGGAGTCTATAGGCTAATTTCTGTAATGGGAGTAGATGTGAAAGTCTTAAATGAAATATTAGCAAATAGATCCATTATAACCAAGTAGATTTTTACCCCAGGAAGACCAGGATGATATATTATCAGGAAATCTATATGTAATATATATTACATACAGGCCAGATTAAAAAACAGTAGCAATACTAATGACCCTTGAAAGGGAAGAAACAAAGTTATTAAATTGTATATATGACAAACCCCAGAGAACCCTCTCCTAAAGATTAGAATGAAGAAGAGTTTAGTAACAACTAAAAAGAGTATATAGATGCAAAATTATTATACAGAAATCAACAATTTTCTTTCATGGTAAGATTTACCAGTGAGAGATTTTAGTACAGAAAAGCTCATTTATTAAAGTAATAAAAAGTGGCATCCTTAAAAGCTATACCAGATTTCTATGAAGAAAACTTCAAAACTAAAGTGAAGGATTTAAGAAAATGTTTCGAACATTTCTTAAGAAGAAATATGAAATAACCCTAATGGTGAGACAGCAGGGTAAAAAAAAATTACAACCAAATTGTTGTAATGTTCATTTTTTACTCCATAACTAAAACCAAACTTTTTTTCTTGAGGGGAACATGGAGTGGACACTTGAAAAACAGAAGATACTAAAAGTAATTCAAAGCATAACAGGGGAAGCAGCTAAAATCAAGACAAAACACAATTGGAGAGAGTTATATTACTTTTAACCTATTCTAAAAGCTTTAATAATCAAAAGGCTATGGGACTGACATAGCACAAGCACCTAGATCAGATAGACAGAAATAAATTTGGCATCACAAGGATTTATCCCATGATCCCAGGAGGACCACAAATCAGTAGCAAAGGAAGCATTATTCACTCAAGCAGCATTGCAGGGACAGCTGTCTAATATCGGGAGGAAAATAATTTATAGTCTCACTTCATAGTAGGCCCTAAAATGAATTCCAGATGGAAAAAAGAGGTACATTTTCTCTCCAAAAAGACAAACCATAAAAACTTGAAGAAGATGAAATTGAGTATTTATCAGTTTTCTGGATAGAGAAGAGCTTCTTACATTAAAACAAAAGACATGCACCAAAATATTACAAACACACTTAAAAGACAATCGATAGGCTGGGAAAGACTTGCAGTAAACATGACAAAGGCTAGTACTTATGATATACAAATAGTGTATTCAGATTTGTAATAAACGTACTAAATCCCTTATGGGTAAGTAGGGAAGTGACATTAAAAGATAAGTTTACATTAAAAATCATCAATAAATACATAGAAATATATTTTTCCATCTCTTATAGTAGCACAACTTAGAAAAACAGTAATTGTCAATGCTAGTGAGGATGCAGTGAAATGGGTATTCTCATATACGGGCAGTGTGCATTGTTTCACTTTTCTGAAAAATCTTTAAGCCTTAAAAGTGTACTTATCGTTTGGTCTTGTACCTGGTAATTATCATAAAGAAATAATTAAAAGTAGTAAGAAAAAAAGTACAATGCACATAAACATTCAACAATCTAAGCATCCAAAAGTAGGGAAATGACTAAGCAAATAGGACCCATGTATTCATAGAAAATTATGTTTATGAAAAGATTATGGTAGCATGAGAAAATGTTTATAGAAAATTAAGTGAAAAAAGCAAAGCCAAAATAACATGTACTATATAATCTAATCCATGAATTTTTAAAAAAAAGTAAATATTTTTTAAAAAAAGAAATACTGTAAGTGTTTAACAGTAGTAATACT